ATCAGTGGGTTCAGGACCATGAACAGCAACACATGCTATTGGGCTGGGGACACATTTATTCCTGCTACCCCTTTGATGGCACCAGGACAGGTCAGGAAACACATGGCCTGGGGACACTCCCAACAGGAAGAGCCCTGAGGTCTGGGAATGAGGTGTCTCAGGACACTTGTGATAGAACAGAGGGAAAGTTGAGGTCAAGACAAGGCCAGGCACACCCAGCTCCTTTGTGGGTCCCTCTGTCCTGCCTGGGTCTGGCTGGGGCACTTGAGATGCCCATTGCTAACCTGAGTGAGAAAGTCAGAGTACTGGATCTTTTCAAGCCCACTGCTCTGCAAGGCCTCCAGGTCCTGGCGGGCAGCAGGGCTCAGCAGGTCCAGATCCTGCACGTCCACTTTGAGGCTCTGTAACTTCTGCTGCAGCTTGGCAGTGTACTGGGAGGAAAGGGACAGGGTTGGGGCCATGCCTGGTCATGCCTGAGCCAGGACCCAGAGCTGCTCCCCTAAGTGAGGGGTCACCGCCTCAGGGCCCTCCCCCTGGATATCCAGGGTCCTCCACTGTGGACATCCCCAGCTCTAGACAGGCTCCCAGCAGGCTTGCTTCCCTCCCACCCCACAAGACCCAGCTCCTCCAGTGCTTATCTGGCTATTGAGCATCGACACAAACCTTTCCTGGTACCCGCCCTCCCTGCAACCCAATCCCGGTTATAAATTAGCTCTCCGGGCCCCTCTATCACATCACCTTATATTAAGATCTCTGTGGCACCCATTGTTCTGAAATGACCTTACTCATTTGTGTACTTGCTTACTGCAGTCAGCTCCATGAAAGTGGAACCTTTCTGACTATATTCTACCAAACCCTGTGTCTAAAGCATGAGCTCACACATGGTGGTCGCCACACAAGCTTGTTGAACACAAGAATGACTGAACCACATTTCCAGTTTAAAGAGGGATATTTGGCATTTTCCTACCATCACTGGGAGAGATTTAAAGGGCATGAAACTCAACCCCAATGTTTTAAGATGAGAAACTGAGGCCAGAGAAGAGGGTTCCCTTGCCTGAGGTTATACAGCAAGTTAGAGAACTAGAGGCCATTTCCACTCATCTCTCATCTTCTCATCAAACTACCTTCCCTGGGAGGAGAAAGGTCTAACCTCCTCAGAGATAGGAGTCTATGCAGCATTTCAGGCATCAGTAACAGATGGCCACGGGAGATGTTGAAGAGCAAACTGTGCCCTCCTGGCACCCTGGAAAGCACACCATGTCATATATATATATATATATATATAGAGAGAGAGAGAGAGAGAGAGAGAGAGAGCCCACCAGCTGCTCCACAGAAGGAAGATGGGGTGATCTACTTCTGTAAAGATTTCAGCCTCAGAAACCCAATGGGGGTTGCTATGAGTTGGAATCAACTTGATGGCAGCAGGTTTGGCTTTATACATGTGTATGTATGTGTGTAGATATATGTGTGTAAAAATATATTACTACTTATACACACACACACACACACACATATATGACAAGGTGTGTTTTCCAGCATGCCAGGAGGGCACTCCTAATTTAGCATCTTTGACCAGATGTGAGGTCCGTGGAGCAGGCAATATCCTGGCACTAGGCCAGAGGCACTGCCTCATTGAAGGCTAGCCAGGGAGGACTGCAGCAGGGGCCTTGACAGAAGAGGCCAGGGAGTCATGGCTTGCTGGCCAACAAAGGGGTCAGCCTGAGTTCTATGTATATGGATCTCTGGTGGTGTAGTGGATAAGGCATTTGGCTGCTAACCATAAGGTCAGCAGTTTCAAACTCACCAGCTGCTCCATGGAAGGAATATGGGGCAATCTACTTCCATAAATATTTCAGCCTCAGGAAGAGGAAGACATAGAGAGGTACATGGGAGGTACAGACAACAAAGATGAACCCTTTTGCACACACAGTACTGCACTGTCAGTGAAGGCAAACATGGGTATACGGGTAGATAGATGGGTGGACAGGCTGAACTATTAGGTATATCTATGAAGCGGGAAGTGTACCCAAGACCATGTATAGGGTTGGCAGACAATGGTCCTATAAGTGTATTTGTATGATCTGTAAGAATTCCCTGGTATATAGCAGAGCAGACAAGGGGTAAGGTTGTAGTCACTTCTTGGTCACAGCCAGCTACCCAGAGGGACTGAGTAGTTGAACCTGTGAGCTTGGGACCATAGTCGCAGGGGACATCAAGCTCAATTGGCATAACA